GTAGATAGAAATGTTTTAATAGCTATATTGGCGTTAATAAGTGTTGAAATAAGGAGGGTGCTACTTGTTCTATAGCTAGCTCAGAGGTATAGTAGTCTACTTGTCTAGCGATAGACTCAGAGGTAGCGAATCGATAGGTTCTAGGATGAAAAGAGAGAAATGCTAGGGGAGAGAGATAAGGATTGGATTGATCTGATCTAGTAGTCTGATCTGTTCTTGTAATCTGCTCTTTTTTTTCTATCTACTAGCTATTCTACTACTATATATATTTGCTGTACTAGATTCTAGAAGAATCTATCTAGTAGTAGATTACGTAGCTATAGACGTAATAGATAGATGAATTGTATAGGGATTGGTTGACTGAAGAATCCGAGTATAGTGCCGAGCACCCGGATTATGTCAGAGATTAGCTGATTAGCTTATATCTCTAACAATAAGCCGATCAACTTCAGCTTCAAATTTAGAAAGTTTTGGATCCATCTAGAGGAAATTGTAACGGGCTGAACGCCCTTTGGATAGCTCCTCGATGGAATCTCGGCCTACTCGCAGAACCCGGGTGCTGTCTTGAGCACCCGGATTCTCTGCGCACCGCCCGAACGACGTTCAGACGATAGCCGCAGGACCCAGAAGCTGCCTCGTGCACCTAGACTTCACCGGTCCGATTGTTACTCGGGTAACCAGCTTGTATATAGACAGCTACGTAGCTTGGGAGCTTAGCTCCTCATCGAATACAACCTCTTATATACCTCGCGATTGCTCCCTAGAGCGCAGCCCCTTACATTTTGTATTCGATCCCAATTAGACATAAGCCTTAGGCGGACTGTCTTCTAACTAAGCTTCAGAACGTGCTATTAGCATAAGCTAGTAACACGGAGTTGGTGCTGCAATAGGTACGAAAGGCCTTAGCGCAGCGAGTAGGTGGACCGTCGCAAGATAGTACATCTAGAGTAGAGCTTCGCAGGAAGCTTAGCCGTGAGAGACAGTAGGCGAAAGAGTCGCCCAGGACCTGTTAGAAGCCCTACCGTGTCTTGGAAAGCCGAGCCGTAGGCGCAACGTCGCGTAATAAACTACCTAAAGGCCACTCGGGCCTAGCGTACAGTTAGCTAGAAGCGGACGTTATAGTGAGAAAGTCCTGTCAATTCTCTATCGGACGAGGTGCAGGCCGTGCGATTACTCTCAATCGGAGACGGGATCCTATGAGCGAGACGGTAAGACGTGAGTCTTCCTAGGGACGCGACGCAACAGCGATAGAGCGCTATTTAGATTCCGGCTGGTAATAAGGACAGCCGAAGGTAAGCCCTACCAGTCCTCGCCGACGAGGAGTAGGCC